CACTACTTGGAGCAAGAACGCTACTAGGAGCAAAGGGCATCGCTACTAGGACCAAGGACGCTACTAGGGGCTCCTGGCCTCACTACTAGGAGCAAGAACGCTAGCATCATGTGTTTGAGCATCATGCGTGAAGCAGCTTGTCTGCAATGCGTTGGTTTTGCTGCCGCCCCGGCCTCTAGAACCAGAAGTTCGCGAAAAAATATAAATAAATAAAGTAAATATATATATATATGTGTAAAATGAACATGATGTGTTTTAATGTTGTTTAAGTTATTTCATCATTTGGTAAATAAAGAAAGTTCCTGGGTGTAGCTCTTCAGTCTCTCAATGTCCACGGAGAAGTCTAGAAAGCAATGGCAGGACCTGCATTGGCGAGACAATGCATGCATCTGTTGCAATGCTGAAAGCAAGAACACAGTGTATCATGATCCTTTGCAAGGAATAGTCGCTAATTAGGTTGGAAGCCATCGCTAGTAGGTTGGAGGCCATCGCAACGAGGTTCCTTTTGCTAGTAGGTTGGAGACCATTTCACTTAACCTCTTGAGACTATCGCCTAGCGCCTTCGCGAAAGCTCCAGGTCCAAGCAACTGTATTGGAAAGCGCAACTTTAGGCTAGTAGTAACAAGAAGCTATTAGAAACAATAAGCTACTAGGAGCAAGTGCATCGCTACTAGTAACAAGTGCCTTACTAGTAGTAACAAGAAGCTACTAGGCACAAGTGCCTCGCTACTAGTAACAAGAAGCTTGAGCCCTGAGCACTTGGGACCATGCACATGCCTGCTTCTGGACCGCAAGGCATCTGCAGCCGCATCAAGCTCACAAAGCACCTTCCAGAAACAACTCGCAAAGGTGTCTGAACTTTCTGAATGCAAGGTCCAAAGAAAACGAAAGAACAAACAAACAAAGAAAAATTAATGCCTTAACGAGTACTAGTAGGCTCAAGTTTCCCTCCTCCCTTTATAAAAGAATTCGCTAAAAAAAATATTGATTAAATAAACAAATGCAATAATAATGACAGAATAGATAGATGGAAACTTAAATAGATAGATAGACAAATAAATAGACAAATAGTTAAATCGATTAACACATAGTCTTTAAAAAGAAAAACGTCCTGAAAGAGTGAAAGAATGAAGGTTTTAGGTCTTGGGCGTCGCCTAACACCCTCTGTCACCCTGACTCTTATCATTCTCTTGTTTCTTATCTCTTGTAATACCAATATTTTCTTTTGGCCCGAGGCCCCGCCTCCCTGCTTAATTAAGTAGGCATCTACTTCATTAAGCAAGTAAGCTGCTAGGCTAAGTTAGCTAGACATGGACGTAGGATAGCTCACGCTCGCACTAATCATTCGTTAGGGAAACTTAACTTGCTTCTCCCCTGCTTGACCTCAAACAACAATGTTCAAAATGAAAAGCAGTGAACAATCTCAGCAAATTTGGCAAATTCGGCAAATAGAAAAAATAAGCTACTACAAGGGCCTTACTAGTAGTAACAAGAAGCTAGTAGAAATTTGGCGTTCTCAAAATGCATGGTCTGTCTGTTAAGCTTGAGGGTGCCACAAGCTCCACGTCTTTGGAATTCCAGACTCAAACCCATTTTGCTACCCGAAAAGGATGCACTGGGTAACAAGTGAAAACAATTTCTTATTTGCCTGTCAAGAGCTTTCCGGTTTCTTGTAAATGGTGGAAAGCATCTCTAGTTACGACTCTAGTGGCTTCAGTTCTTGTTGGGTAATCTGGTGTTTATGAAAATTGTGCGCGATGGTGTGTCGAAGGCATCGTCCAAGTTGCACCTTCTTGGAGATTTGCTGAGGATCGCGCGCCTGGAGAATCTGCAACATGAAAAATTCAAAGGTTCTTTCCCTGATGGTGAAAGCAACCCAGGATCTCTCCTAGGGTTTGAGTTCAAGACAAGGTTCGAACCAGGAACTGGCTGGGCTTAACCGAAGCAAACTTTGTGGCGAATGACACCCGGAGTCCATTGCCTCCTAGTGCTTGACCTTGGAAGGAAATCCGTCCCAGTTCATTGTTTTGAGGGGGGTAGGTCGTGGGGACGTGTAGGAGGAAGCAATGGGAATCGTTTCACTGGGAATCGTTTCACCTGTAGTAAGGAGAAGCTACTAGTAACAAAAAGCTACTAGGGGCTCCTGGCCATACTCCTAGGAGCAAGGACGCTACTAGGGGCTCCTGGCATCGCTACTAGTAACAAGAGGACGTAAACAGTTCCTAGATTCTCGCCTCGGTCCACAATGGCTCCTCATCACTGTCTTCGATCTTTGAAAACTTTGAATAGTCCACCATGGTGCGTCAACTTCATCACGTACATTTGTCCTTCGTGGGATGGACAAGTTATGTGCAAGAGGACGTTTGCTTTCACCCTTGCTGCAAGACGCATTGTGCTTGAAAGCGCACTAGTGCTTGATGTGGAATTGATTGCAAGCATGTTTACAAGAAAAAAGGATAGAACGAAAGGCCCAAGAAAGAAAATTATAAATTGATAATGAAAGAAGAAAGAATAGTAACAAGAAGCTACTAGGGGCTTCTGGCATCGCTACTAGGAGCATTCTTATTACTAGCAATATTCTTACTACTAAGAACGAGATTTGTTGTTGTCTTGTTTCGGTGTTCTTTTGAGGCCCCAGGTATTGGACTGTTTGTAAGCACTCCTCTAGGTACTTAGTACTGTAAGAACGCTTTGAAGGGCCTTAGGTATTGAACCTAACAAGAATTTGTGTTTTAAAGTTTGGCTTTTTTGTGTCCTTTCTTTTGTTTGCTTTCTTCAGACCTTGAGATTTTTCTGTCTGTCCCTTTTCTCTTGTCCTTTCTCTTATTTGTCTTTCTTTTTCTGGCCTTCCTTTGAGGCCTTACGTTTTGAACTCTGAATGTGAAGAATGTTCAAGACTGCTCACGCAACCTCTGAATTTCTCCGCTTTCTGTCGCTTCCGCTGTCCGCAGCAAAGCTGTGAGCTCATGACCAAAATCACGGATTGAAATCCATGGGCGGCCACAGAATCGGTCCGTGCGAAGTTTCAAAACACGTCTTCAGAGGCAATGCCCTAAGTTTTTGCCATCGACATTTTAATGAAGACTGCTTTATACAGAATAAAGAAATTGCTTGCCGCAAAACAGAAGAAACCTTCTTCTCAACTAGGATTAACCTTGTGACTCTGGGCCGTTCCAAAATTCTTCTGAGCCGAGCTCGGAGTGAAACACCGCTTGTGGGCAGTGTTGAGGTGACCTCTGTCGACAGCTCCACGCGAATAGGGAGCAAAGCCCTGGACTCAGCGAGTCCCACGGTTCTTCTAGTTACAGGTGAAACGATTCCGGAAGCTTCTAGCTCCTAGTAGCTTCTAGTTACTAGAAAGCTTCAAAGACATACTGCTTGTTACTACTAGCGATGGCCTCCAACCTAAGAGCGATGGCTTTAACTCATGCCATATATGTCCTCTTTCCACTTGGCACCTCCGTTGAGATTTCATATCCTTAAAGGATCCGAACGAGCCACCTGGTCGATGAAAACAAAGCACTGCAAAGTGCCCTTTCGATGTGTAATTTTGCATGCTTGACATCGACCACTGGCTCAGTGCAGTCACGTGATCTGAGGTTTGTTGAGTTCGCTGGTCAGAAAACACCAGGGAACAGAAAGGTTCAATGTCGAGTCTTCCTGTGCCTTACTACTAGGAGCAAGGACGCTACTAACTAGGGGCTCCTGGCATCGCTACTAGGAGCAAGAAGCTACTAGTTAAGATCCTTCAAAACTGTAGGTCACAAGGTTTCGATCTTTCCAGCCTCTCCAAATAAAAAACAGTAGCAATAGCCTCCAGCCTAAGAACCTAATAGCAATGGCCTCCAGCCTAGTAGCGATGGCCTCCAACCTAGAAGTTCAACAGTTTCAATGTCAACTTGAAGTTTGTCACCATCCCTGGTTTCTTCAAGCAGCGCGTCAACATTGACCAGCTATGCTCTCTTGGAGAGACAGCTTCATTCCACGCTCTGCGTTGTAAGCTAACTTCGGCAGCTGCATTAAAGAGTTCAGTGCGAACTTCAAGGTGGCACTTCTGAGGTTTCCCAATCGAACCGTCCTCCTTTTCCTTCAACGTAGAACCGTCCTACCCTTGTTACGTTCGTAGCTTCTGAAATGCCCAAAAATAACGGTTGAACATTGGCTGAAATCCATCATAGAATCATACAGTGCAGTGTTTTCTGTGGAAAGTCTGGCAGGGAAACGTGGCCACTCGGAACGACAGTTCCGAAGTGTCACAAATTGCGGCGGTGCAATTGCGGCGTATTGGAAGGCAAGAAGGCGAATTCCTTTCCCTACGAGTAACAAGGACGCTACTAGGTGGAGGCCATCGCTACGAGTAACAATGAAGGCGCATTCCCTTCGCGTGATTTCTGCACCGAGGTGTGACACGCTGGCGACATGCTAGTTGCATGCAACAAGAAATCACACAGCCCATCCTTCCATCTGGGTGGAACACTGTATGTGTTTTTGATGTACCGTGCATAAGAAGCTAGTAGTACAAGGGCATCGCTACTAGGAGCGATCAGGCGCTACTGGGGGCTCCTGGCCTCACTAGGAGCCAAGGGCATCGCTAGTTGCATCTTATTGTTTCTACGTTCGCTTCTTGTTACTACTAGTAAGGCACCTGTTACTACTAGCGATGCACTTGTTCCTAGTAGCTTCTTGTTACTACTAGTAAGGCACTTGTTACTACTAGCGTGGCACTTGTTACTGCATGATAACGTGCTGCTGCGGCCTTGGGAATTCGCATTTCTCGCGTGTCACTGTGGACCGGTGAGACGTGAACACCAAGCCGAGGAGGCCGCTCTAGGCTTCACTCGGAGAGGGGTGCCACTAGCAATGGCCAACCCAGCGATGCCCTTTGCTCCTAGTAAGGCCAGGAGCCACTAGTAGCATCCTTGCTCCTAGTAGCGATGCCCTTTGTTACTAATAGCAAACTATAATTCTTAGACCTTTCTTCTTCTTTTTGTAGCAATGGCCTCCAACCTAAGAACCTGCGGTGGGTGCCACTGCCTTATTCTGCTGTTCGTCTTGGCTTGGCTCGTGGGACTCGTTGGGGCCCCCTGCACAGCGAAAAGAGTGAAGCAAAACAACAACGCATGTAATGGAAAGCGTCCTTGTTCCTAGTAGCGATGCCAGGAGCCCCCAGTAGCGTCCTTGCTCCTCGCTTCTAGCAAAAAACGAAAAGACTGCTTTAAAAAATAAGCTCGCCTAAATCCTACTGCATGTACAGGCATGAGGATCACGCGCACTCTAGCTGCATCTTGGGGAGTAACATAAAACATTAGCTTAACAAGAACGCTACTAGGAGCAAAGGGCATCGCTACTAGGAGCAAGGACGCTATTAGGTTGGAGCTGTTCTTTGTTTGTCGTCTACAAGTGGGATAATTAGTGACGCCCAAGACCTAAACCCCTTCGTTGCGCTGTCGGCACGTAGCCAAGAATGTGGGCTATTGACCTAAGGCCAGGAGAACATGGCCTTCCTGTGTATGTCTTTCATGTTCATTTGAAAGAAAACTCGAATGAAACTGTTACTGCTAGCTTCTTGTTACTACTAGTAAGGCACCTGTTACTAGAAGCGTGGCACTTGTTACTACTAGCTTTAAAAAATCAAGAAAACTCGTGTGTTGAGTTGCTTTTCCTTGTCTTGTAGTTACGGGGGTAGGCCGCTAAAATGGGAAGTGGGATTAAGAAGGTCAGCTCTCCTAGCTTAAGTAGCTAGTTTAGCAAGCGATAGGAAGCTACTACCCGGATGCAGAAGGACTCGGGTTCTTAGCATCATTCACTTGGTTCCCGTGTGTTTAAGAAATGTAACTTTCAGCTTTGTCTTTTTCCTTATTTTTTCGTTTAACCTTTCTTGAGAGCGAGCCGATGCTGCGTTTACGTGAATAAGTAACATGTATTCCAGCCTGCTCTTTCCAGTGCCATGCGGCACCGATCCTGCAATCATGTTGCAATTCAGCTATTTTTGTCCCGCAAAATAACACAAACAGGCACCTGTAGACGGCACGGGCAGGCAATTCGCCAGCTCAATGGCAAATTTTGGGGACCTGGTCATCGCCATGGGTAGAATGAAGGGATTGCCTTCTCGTAGCATAAAATAGAAAGCTAAAACGAAAGCATTCAAGATGAGTATGGAGTTAGCAGATGCAACGGGAGCAAAGCAAACCTAGACCCCTCAGAGCAGGGTTCTCAAAGAAAAGCATTGTTTTTGAATCCTAAACCAGTACAGTTTTTGCAGCTAGCCGTCAAGGCCAGGGCTTAAGAGCTGGTAGCAAACTTGGAAGGACAAAGCCAAGCTACTCAGGCGAAACTGGAGAAGCTCCAAAAGCATCCCAGTCCCAACTTTGCATTGGAGAAGTTCCAAGGTCCAACCTGCCAGATTTAAGATGCAGTACAACAAAGGAAACAAAGTCAAACCTCAAAAAAACGGCGTTGGCATCAAAGGAAGTGAGCCTTGACATATAATGTATATTTATGTTGCCTTGTCAAAAGCAAAATCTGTACATTTTCCTGTAAAGCGTTACTCTCGCCAAGAAACGGAGTCAGAACAGAGGGATCGGATAGCTCACTGCCCGGAAACATCGACGCTGGCGTTTGCCTCAAGATTCAAACTGCCTTGAGCTTGGCCCGTGGCCCTGCCTCCTTACTAGCAACAAGGACGCTACTAGGGGCTCCTGGCCTTTCTACTAGGAGCAAGGACACTACTAGGAGCAAAGGGCATCGCTACTAAGCGCTCCTGGCATCGCTACTATGAGCAAGGACGCTATTAGGGGCTCCTGGCCTTACTACTAGGAACAAGAAGCTACTAGGAGCAAGACATTCCCGCTTGATCAAATGGCGCTAAACCTCTGACCCTTCTGGCTCACCTAGCTGTTTGTCACGGCCTGGAACATGTCTTATCAGAGTCTTATCGCTGCGACACCTAGTGGACCTGTCCAAGCCAGAAGTGCTAAACTTACTGTAAGTGCAACCAGTGCTGTGCAACCAGTGGAACCTAGCAACATCAACCTCACAGACACAGGCAGCATAAAGTGAGAGTTGTTAAGAGTCATGCTTTTTGCACACAAAAACCAAGTCTGGCGAACGTTGGTTCTCTCGAGAAAGTGATACAATCAACCCAAGTCAAGTTTGAAGTCCGCCAAGGAACGTTACCATGGAGTCCACTCCTGAAAGAGGTGTCCATGTGGAGCCTGTCACAAGCAAGCTAAGCAAACCTCTTCACTGTGCCAAGGGACTGAAACTATCTAAGTGACAGGTGTTTTCTCGACGCCATTTGCACAATAAACTGTTCATTTCCCAAACCCCTCGCGCCCCGCGAAAAAGGGAGTGCTCTTCTTGGCAGGTGAAGAAAAAATTGAAGGTTGGAGGCCATCGCTTGTAGGATGGAGGCCATTGCTATTAGGAACAAGAATCTACTAGGGGCTCTTGACCTTACTACCCTCCTAGGGGCTCCTGGGATAGCAAGAAGCTATTAGTAACAAGAAGCTACTATGAACAAGTGCATCGCTTCTAGTAACAAGTGCCTTACTAGTAGTAACAAGAAGCTACTAGGAACAAGTGCCACGCTAGTAGTAACAGGTGCCTTACTAGTAGTAACAAGAAGCTACTAGGAACAAGTGCCACGCTAGTAGTAACGGGTGCCTTACTAGTAGTAACAAGAAGCTACTAGGAACAAGTGCATCGCTTCTAGGAACAAGTGCCTTACTAGTAGTAACAAGAAGCTACTAGTAACAAGTGCATCGCTTCTAGGAACAAGTGCCTTACTAGTAGTAACAAGAAGCTACTAGTAACAAGTGCATCGCTTCTAGGAACAAGTGCCTTACTAGTAGTAACAAGTGCATCGCTTCTAG